CACTGCCATGTCCAGGAACAGGGTCAGCTCGAGGGGTACTGCCACAGCCCCACTGCCACCAGTAGCTGTCACACAGCCTGGGACCATGAACTGTCACAATCTCCCCAGGGAGCCAGAACAGCTTCTGCAACCACCACCACCATTCCCCTCTCTTCCAATGCCCATGGCCTGAACTATGTGGCTAAATACCCTGAAATTCCTGCCTCACCAAAGAACTCCCTGTACTGCCATAATTCCAAGGAAACCACACGACCCAAACCCCACTTCCCTACCCTGGTACAATGCAGCCATTAAACACAGCTCAGGATATTGTAAACTTTTCCAGAAATGGAGAAAAAGTTCAAGGGCTCCGGGGCTGCTCAAACAATTAATGAGTTCCAAAACGACAAACTGTCGTTTCACAAAGACAGAGCCAAGTGAGCTGAAAAATACTCAAACTTCTGGCAAAAACCACTCTATTCCTTCAGGGATACAGCTAGGGACATCACAGCCTTACAACAAAAGGAATCCTCAGGATTATCCAGTCCAGCTCAGCACTGCCTAGGCCTCCCAAAGCAACACTTCTTTAACAGCAGAGAAAGTGGGAGCAGGTAAACCAAATTTAGATCTGCTGATGTGCATGGATCGTCACTTATACTATATGCTGCTGTTTTATAACCGTAACATTTCTGTTTTCTAATAGCAATACCCATGTCAGAAAGTGTTCACCAGCTTTCCTGAAGCCTCAAACACCTCACTATGAGCCCACATGCCTGGCTTGACCCAAATAACTATTTCCTTTAATTGTTTACATACTTCCTGACTTAAATGAACTGGACAAAGCAGCAGATAGCTAAATTATATTATTATAGCCCCATCAGCAGAATACCCATTTTATTTACAATACACGACAAAGCTTTACTTCCATGAAAAAGAACCAGAAGCAAAGGTCAGGGCCCATGGCTGGTCCAAAACCCCAGCATCCAGAGAAGCCTCTTCCCAGACAGCCCTTAAGCACTGACAGCAGAACTTTTTTGCAGACACACAACTCAAGAGAGACAGGGAATTAGGAGGGATAGAAAACAGCAGGAAGTCACCAGGGTATAACTCAGCAGAGACACGGGCAGGACTCCTGCAGACAAAGAACATGGGCAGGGATCCATCGCTGCACACGCCTGCTGCTGCCAACACAGCCTGGGCAAACATGTGGCTGCAGCCAGAGCACACTGTTCTTTACAGCACCTTGGAAAGGCACCTCCTTCCCAGGGCCAGGTCTTTACAGATCCATTTAGGTTGGAAAAGATCTGCAAGATCACCGAGTCCAGCCTGTGACTGATCCCCACCTCGTCACCCAGCCCAGAGCACTGAGTGCCACATTCACATGTTCCTTGGACACTTCCAGGGATGGGGACTCCAAACCTCCCTGGGCAGCCCCTCCCTTCCAATGCCTGACCACCCTTTGTAATAACCTGACAGGTACAAGGTTTTCTCTCTGAACCTCTGGACAAAAAGAACGTGAAAATGAGGTAAGGAGCAGCAAGGCTTTGGCTGCCCTGCACCTCCCTCGTCCCATGGACAGGACTCCAGCTGGAGGGGAAGGGTTCAGACCTCAGAATTCTGCAATCCCCTGTGACCAGGCTGTAGCGTTTCCAAATCACACCAAGGCCCATGCAGATCACTGCCTCAGGAGCAGCATTCCCAACCTTCAGCTGCCTACAGACATTAGAGGTAACTGTTCAAATCAAGTTCTTACTTGCCCTCCCTGTTCCTGCTGAAGCAGGGACAATAATTCCTAGAAGGAAGGATGCAATTCAAAAATAGGTAGCAGCACCCAAAGAAATGTTAGACAAAAATCACAAGGCCCTAGACCCTTCAGAGGATCCTATGACACAAAAATGTGTATTTGCAAAAGCCCTCTACAGTAACTGTCTTCTTTAGTCCTTTCATCTGCTATGAGACTGTGCAATTCGTAAGAGGTCAAAAAGCCAGCCATTTCCTCACTCCATGCTGGGCACCTGTGAAGTTCCAGAGCAAGACACACAGCAGCCATGGAAGAAAGCACTGCTGGATCCTAGCACTTGCCTTCCTGTGCCTACACCTGACTGCCTTTGAGGGAACCTGAGAGGCAAAGCTTTGAAACACCTTTTGAGTGAGTGGAGCCAAGGTTGTAACATCCAGTACCTGGGAGCAGCTCTCCCAGCCTGACACCCACCAAGGGCACAGTAAAGCCCACCCAAAATGTCACACACCATCTGCACTCTCACAGCATCTGCCCTCGCTCCCTACGAGAGGGAATTCTCGAGTCCTTCCAGAGGGTAACTGGATGATTTAATTGTACTCTCGGGAAAAGCTGCCTGAGAACATCCATTTGCTGATATGACCCTGCTACTGCAGCAATAAAAGCTTTTCTCTTCCACCACCAGTTATAAGACATCTTCCAAACGGTTTTAAATTGTTAACTTCAAGCAACAAACCAGTCCTTGTGCCACAGTGTCTGGCACATCACTGTACCCATAAAAATCAAGGAGTCCCCCACCTCTGACCTGAGAGGACGCTGTTGCATACACACCACACACACTGAGTTCACCCACTCCTCCCAAGGCAGGGCACAGGGAATGGCTTCATACTGAAAGCGGGTTTAGATCGAAGCTTAAGGAGAAATTCTTCCCTGTGAGAATGGGGAGGCCCTGGCACAGGTCACCCAGAGTAGCTGTGGCTGCCCTGTCCCTGGAGGTGTCCAAGCTGGGGTAGTGGAAGGCGGCCCTGCACATGGAAGGGGTGGGAGCGATGAGCCTAATGGTCCATTCCAACCCAAACCATCCTATGATTCGATGATTCTGTGGAGCTTATTTCATGCCAATTCCATGCTTATTCCATGTCAATTTCCACACAAACACCCAGAAACCCATGCACGAGAAAATACAGTGACAATCGGGTAGACTTTGAAATGCATTCGTAGAAACCCCAAACACGTTCATTTCCCCGAAACAACACGAACTAGCAAAAAAACCCTTTATCAGTACACGAAAAATGAAGACTCAGGCTTCACACGTGCGTCTGAGCCACTGCAACGCCTCTTCTGCCACATCGCCTGAAGTTCAGCCAAACTTCACGTTTAAGCAAGACACAAAGCAGGCAGTGAGAAAGCACCGATCTCTCCTGCTGAACCGGGAAAAGGGCGGTGCTGAGCGCCGGTGCGGGACGCTGCGGAAGCCACGCACCTGCAGGGGTTGGGACGCGGGGTCACGG